AAGAAATCTTTTCTCTAGTCGATCCATTTCTGTCCCTAACAGAATGATATGAATAAACACAGGGAGCTGGAACTTCCAAGAAAAAAAAAAAAAAAGATGACCTAGGCCCCGAGCTGGGTAGCCTGAGCTGAACCAGACTAGCCCCTCCCTCACCCTGACTGTGCTTGCTTCTTCAGCACAATTATAAAGATTAGATGACGATAGCTTGGAAACTGGGACATTGTTAAATTAAAAAATTATGCAGAGGAAGTTTGAATTTGGCTGTTTGGGGTTTTTCTGTCTTTACAGAAAGTTAGTCTAGCTGGAAAGAAATGGGTTAGGCTCGTGATTGCCACCAGCCTTTGAAGCCAGGCACTGAAACCGCACCTTCATTTCCCCTCTTGCAGGTCCCTCTGGTGTCTGGGTTCTTTCATTCTCCAGCTCACTTCTGCCAGGAAGAAGCTGGAAATAGTGATCAATGTTGAAGTTGCATTCACATTAAGTTCAAAGTTACTTTTAAATTTTCACTAACCATTAAAGCCAATTTTCAATGTAACTTAAAATTGTCAATTTATGTATGATTTCAAACCAAACAATATTGGATCTTTAGGGACTTTCATAGATTCTTATAGTAAAAATAATTCTCAGTTATAGTTGTCATTTAGAAATATGGCATCCCAAGTAATAAAATGAAATTTATACTGTGCTTGAAAGAGTTAAGGCAAAATCTTCCACACTGTGAATCTAGATTCTATACAAGTGAGAAAATCTAGATTCTATACAAGTGAGAAAATGCCTCTTTAGAAACTATAAGGGTTTTTCAGATAATATTTTAAGTGTGTTTATGTGATTTGTGTACTGAGGTCCTGGCTGAGACTTGATACATAATTTTCCATTTCTATGGAAGACATCAGTGAGGGCATCATTATTTTGGTTTAAAAAAAAAATAGCCGAGCACAGTGGCACACATTTGTAATCCCAGTGGCTAGGGAGACTAAGACAGGAGGATCACTAGTTCAAAGCCAGTCTCAGCAACAGTGAGACACTAAGTAACTCAGCGAGACCCTGTCTCTAAATAAAATACAAAATAGGGCTGGGGATATAGCTCAGTGCCCCTGAGTTCAATCCCTGGTATCCAAAAATAAATAAATAAGGTAAATAAAAGAGCCCTTTTTTAAATTAGTGGGCCTTTTGGTTATGCAATGGTAAAGTCAAGTTCTAATTAGAAATGGCAATGCTTAGGGGTCTAAGTAGCTAATCTGCTCATATTATGTCCTCTTGGGTTTACTACATCTCTGCAAATAAAATAGGGCTTCATCTTCTGGGAGGGTCAAAGTTGTTGAGATTCACTCTTATAGCTCATAGTTAAACCCTGGCTCACTCTCTGCAGGGGAAACTGGTCCCTGCAGCCTAGCCAGAAGTTGAATTTTAGATTTGCTCAGTAGGGAACCCTGGGAAAGGGTTTGGCCACCTGTGCTGATTTATTCAGCATCTGAGTTTTTCCTGTGTTATAATTTGATTGTGTTATCCCTGAACCTTCAGTAAATTCTCACTAAATGTTTTAGAGTGATTTTTGTTGTTTTGGTGGTGGTGGTACTGCTATTTGGGGCTGGGAGAAAGTCAGGGCTTCACATTTGCTCTACTACTGAGTTATATCTCCACCTTACTCTGGTCTTAACTGTGCCACAGGGTCAGCAGTACAAGGGTTTCTCTGTAGCAGGAGATGTGGCAGCCTAGTTGAAGCAGCCATAAACACTTGGGAGACATTGGTGGAGTGAATAAGCATTGAAGTCTCAAATACTTAAGGACAGAAACCTGATGTAAGAGAGACTTTAAAAAAAAATACACATACACACACACACACACACACACACACACACACACACACACATATATATACATATACATACATATATATATATATATATGGCTGTAGATGGACACAGTACCTTTATTTATTTTTCTTTTATGTGGTGCTGAGGATCAAACCCAGGGCCTCATACATGCTAGTCAAGCACTCTACCACTTAGCCACAATACTAGCCTATAAGAGAGACTTTTGAGGAGTTCTTATTTGAATGTTTCAGCACTCCTGAAGGCTGGAGAGGTCTGGGACATATAGCTTCTGTTAGGATAATTACTAATGGGCTCTAGGATAAACAAGCAAAGTTAATTTTCCATCTTCCTTTTAACAAGGAAGTTAAGAACAAACTTGAGCTACCATTCAAAACCTGACTGCCATTTTGTAGGAAAGTTATTTCACCTCTCTGGCCCTCAGTAATCATTCTATAAAATGTGGATAATAATGGTATCTGCTTATAACTCTTTGGAGGACTAAATTGAGCAATTCAAGCAAACTGCCCACCATTCGTTTAGCCAGTGCTCCACAGATGTCCATCATTATTGCTATTTTTTTAAACTCTCAACAAGTCCTCTTCTACTGTAGTCTCCAGGAGCTTAGGATCCCTGTGCTGCTTTTTGTCTATCTAGAGTTACCTACATCAACATCTTCTCCAAGCACTTGACTTTGCCCGTGTTCTCAGCACCTGCCCACTCCTTTTTCCCAAATAAAAATTCCCTTTCTCTTAACATAGCTTTTAAAAGGAAAACATCAAATTATGCTTAATGAGCTGCCCTCCCACATTTGCATTTTAAAACAGAAGCTTGTTAATAACAAAAATGAGTCTCACTTGGGACCGCCATATAAGAACAGACTGAATAAACAGAGGGAAGAAGAAACTTTAAAGAGGACTTTGTAGCTATCTTCAAATAAATGAAGGGCATGAAATGCAGGGAACCACAGATACATTCTGTTTTGTTGCAAACAGCAGAACACAGAGCCAGTGGAGGAAGTCAGATAGGCAAATTTGGCCTTGATATTAAAATATTTCTCCTCCATGCTCTAACAAAGTGCCTGGCACATGGAAGGCAACCAACATTGTCCTGTTTTTATTAGTAATTAGAGCTGCCAGCTGGTGACTGCTTCGGGCTGTAATGAGTTCCCACCATTAGAAGTGTTCAAGCCTAACTGTATAGAATGTTTCCATTTGAACCAACTGAATACTAACCTTCTTCTGGCCATAAATTTCTATGACACTTTTATTAATGGTAGAATTTCAACAGATATTTTGGAGCAAAGAATATTTCATAATTCTTTCTTTCATAATTTCCAAAAGGCAGTGAAGTGGTTAAAACTGAAGTCTTGGAATTCAAACCCTGGTCATCCTATTTACTTACTGTGTGACTCAGGGCAAGTTGTCTGTTCTCTCTGTACTTCAGTTTCCTTAGCTATAAAACGGGATCAATAGTAGTGTCTTTCTCACAAAGTTATTGTGAGAGCTAAATAAGTTACTGTAATCCAGGTGGAGTGCTTAGAAGAATGTCTGACACACACACAGAAGATTAATGTTCAGTCAATGTTAGTTATGAGGTATTATCTGATACCCTTACCTTTTCTAAGCTTTTTACATCTTTTTAGTATGTGGAGGCACACCATCAATAGCATAATTGACCCTGACCTGGTTTTTTTCCTGAATCAGTTGCCAACCTTGGCCACTGTGATGAACCAGTGAGTGCACTTTCGTATAAACTAGTTTTAAAACTGTACAAGCAGGAAGAGGCTGTGATATGATATGCAATTTACAAAGGATCTCTGATGAAACACAATCATGGCTGTGGACACCCTTATGGTGCTATGTGCCTGGCAATTGGAAGATACCCAGTAAATATTTGTTCAATGAACAGATGAACTTGGCATGGTTCTTATTATTTCCTACATTTT